TTCTTCGGAGGTGGTTGGGGGGTATTTATAGCCCCAAGTGTTGACATGTATCTGCACATGTAAGCCTCTCATTGGCCCACGTGGTGCTGCCCACGTGGGTATGTCTCCTCCTCTTGGGCTTGTGGGTGCGTAGTTGGGCCTGCTGCATGTGGCCCTAAGAGGGCATTGGGCCTAATCCCAACATTACTCCCCCCTCGGTGTTCAGTTGACGAACTGGGTTGGGAGAGTTGTAAGCATGGCGTTTGACCCTGAGGATGAGGAGTGATGTTTTATGTTCATGTCCGCCTTCACGCACGACCGATCTAGGGGGCCTGAAGCCATCGCGGCCAAGGCTGTTGTGCATGTGTATGTCGGCTTCTTATTGAGCAGGCGTGGGGGAGCTGGTGTTAAAACCAAGCGAGCTCGGTGCATGTGTTTTGGGCCATAACTGAGGTGAAAAGGCATGACACAGAGTCATGCGTTATAGCCGTAGCTGAAGTGAAATAGGTGGCTCGGGGTCACCATGGCCAGAGCCAGGGAACTGAGGTGACGACCTGAAACCAGGAAGCTCAGGAGTGACGACCTGGAAAACCAGGAAGCTCAAGAGTGACGACCTGGAACCAGGAAGTTCAGGAGTGACGAACTGAAACCAGGAAGCGTATGAGTGACGACCTGGAAAACCAGGAAGCTCAAGAGTGACGACCTGGAACCAGGAAGTTCAGGAGTGACGACCTGAAACCAGGAAGCATATGAGTGACGACTTATGTAAGGTCTCAGCTCGTTGCTCTTCATTGGATGTTGTCAGCTCGTCATTCTTTGTTGAGCTTTGTTAGCTCGTCACTCTTCATTGAAGCTTCGTGTTCATGACTGGCCTCGTGGACGGCCGATCTGGGCAGCGTGAAACCACCTACGGGGCAGGCGCGAGCAAACGGGTGGTCAGGCAAGGCGAGCTCAGCCTGATTAGCGAGCTGTGCATGGACGATCTCGTCTGAGTGAGCTAGCGTATAGTGAACGAGCTGAAGCAGCTGACCCGTATGGGTTGATATGGGTGATCTTAGTCATCACCGTAATATAAATATTTAGGGGCGGAGCTGATCTGACGTTTAACGTTCGTAACTAAGGTGAATCTTTGATTTGTTACGACCTGATTTGTTACGATCTGATCAAGTTTGAAATCTATGGATATATCGTGGGTCAGTTACGAGCAGGTTTCTTGAACTTTTCAAATTTTGAACTGGGATAGATCTCTGAGGAAATTTTGTTACGAGTTGGTCCTTGCCACTTTTTACATTTTAAACCTGCGAAATCTCCAAAGAGATTTGGTTTAGAGCGGTTAGTATTCTCAATCCCCCCCTAATAAATGCTGGCTCGGCGTTTGAAGAGACGTGACAGCTAAAGCAGGCGGATGTTACACGCCCAGCAATAAATGCTTGCCACGCGTAACGTTTTGACTCGTTGGCAGAGAGGTGCGTACGGTAGTGCTAGGCATGGTCACGTAACCTCTCTGTTGTCTTTGTTTCCATTTTCCATTTCCATACTCTCTGTATTCTTCTGCAGCAAAGGACCTTCACAGTTTTCAGGCGATCTTCTCAAGGAATTTCAGTACCAATTTTTCAGGTAATAACGAATGGAATTTGTTAGTGGAGTAGGAGAACTCCGGGGTAACCAGGGTATGGAAGGGGAAGAGAACGTGATAGTCGTAGAACCCATTACCATGATTGTACCACCGGAACTGCAAGACGTGTCGGAAACCCCTACGCCGGAGAGCAGTGCCAGTTTAGGCGCGCATGAGGGTTCCGGTGCTAACCCCTCTCCGTCATCTGAAGGGTCGTCATCAGAAAACACTGCCAGTGCAAGCAGCCCCTCGCCGGAAAGTATGGAAGTGGCCGTAAGTGTACCTCCAGTTGCAGGTTGGGAAAATAAAACCATAGGTGGTAGGTTGAGCAACCTTCGCAAGGCGCCGAATACACTGACAGCCGGATTTCGGTTTAGGGCGAACCTGCATCATGAGGTAGCAGATTGCCCTACCTCCATCAAAGGGTACAAGAGACTAGAGGAAGTGGTGAGACAGTACCACGTTCCTAGGACAGTTTTGTTACGAACGGGGACCAAAAATGAAAGGGCCTGCAGTGTGTCAGCAACAGGGTGGATACCTGTATATGTGGACCATTTCGACGCCGGCCTGAGGTTTCCTTTATCCGGGCTGATTTTTGACATTCTGTCAGAGTACGAGCTGGCGCTCACACAGTTGACTCCCAACAGCATAAAATTTATCGTAAGGTTTATGCTGCTGTGTGCACAGTTGGAGATACCTGCGAAGGCCGTTGTTTTCAGGTCGCTATTTTTGTGCCGGCTGAGCTCTGCACAGACAAGGTGGTACTACATTTCTGGGCGAGAGAAAATGGCCGTCTTCAAGAACATAAGGAATAAGGTGTCACGTTGGAAGAGGCAATTTATCTTTGTCCGGGATACGCGAGCAGAGAGGGTTAGCACCGATCTGGCAGCTCGTCTATCTGAGTGGCACCCAGGGCATGCGTACATGAACTACCCCACATTAACCCCGGGCGACCTGAAGCTTAGGGATAGGATCACTAATTATGTGAAGGGAGGGGGGTTAGTTGATTTGGAAGCCTTGGTTACCCCTGAGGTGCTCACTTTGCGTGGGTTTGTGGATATCACAAACCTGTTTAGTGAAGGTACAACTCTATTGTCAATTACTTTTTTCACGAGCTGAGTCTTATTGCACGTGTTTATGCAGGAGAGATGAGTAGCATGCTTGAGAAACAAAGGGAGCGAGCTCAGCGCTCTCGTGGCAGGGGAACTGGGTCTAGCGCGAGGAGGCAAACGCGCTTTGACGAGCTACCGCCTGCAGCACCTCGCAGCTCATCGCAGAGGGAACAAGGTTCCAGCTCGGCCTCGCGGCCACAGGCTGAACGTAGGGTAGAACTCGCACCTGTTGATGTTCGGATGCTGAAGATGACGTACCATTAATTCGGCGCAGGTTGGATTCTGAGAGACAACCTAGGGTGGTGCGCTCACCTGAGGCGCCTGTGGTCCAGCCGCGTAGCGCGGCTGAGGCGTTTCCACCGTCAGTAGCTAGCGGTGGGCCCAGGATCGCATACCCTGAGGGTTTTAGTTACACTAAACCCGACTGTCAGCTCGTTATGGTCCAGGGTATGCAGAATTTCGTCCCGCCTGTGGACCGTCACCGCGCTAAAGGCTACATTCAGCAGCACGGGACTCACGCTGCAATGCTGAAAATGATGGATGTGAGTATTGTGCGTGACAAACATTTTTTGTTGTAGGTTTAGAGTAAAAACTGATTGTAGACATGTTGCAGGCGCTAAGCTATTCTGTAGCTCTGTTCGAGAGCGAGCAGGCAGCTCGAATACAGAATAGGGAGCTGGCTGACAATTGCAAGCGGCTGTCCTCAGACAAGGCGAGCTTGAAGGATGAGGTGAACCGTTTGCAAAGCTCAGAGATGGCCAACAGGGCTGCATCAGCCGAAAGCCGGGCTGACGAGCTGGCCAATAGGGTCATCCAACTGCAAGAGGAGCTGGACAAGGTGAAAGCTGAGAAGGAGAGTGGGATTCAAGCGGCCATGGATGAGGTCGTTCGCGCAGTGGATCTCAGGAAAAAAGTGGAAGCTGAGAGAGATGGCGCGCTGAACGACCTCAACGCCCTAAGAGGGCGGGTTGCTGTGGCCAACCAGGATCTTGCCGGCGCTGAGGAATCCCTGAGGCAGGCCAAGGCTCAGCACCAGCGCTGTATTAGCATCGCGCGAGCTCAAGGCGCGGAATGGCTGGTTGGTGCTGACATGTTCCAGGACGCCGTAGCTGTGGCGTCCATGAACACCACGACTGAGATCTACAATGACGTTCATGGTAAGGTGTTGAAGCACCGGCCGGACTTCCCAATCAACGAGCTCGCATTTTTTGACGGTGAAGAGTTCGACTCAGAAGGGAAGAGCCTTACTGAACCTTCTGACACGACGGTGAGGCTTCGCTAGGAGCTAAACGAAGAGGGATTGCCAACATGGCCACCGTCTGTCCTCGAAGAAGGAGAGGAGTTTGAGAATCTGCCGGGTTCGACACCTGGGCCGGTGATGCTCCTGTAGAAGAAGCTGAACCCTCAAGTACTCCTCCAGCGCCTCAGCCCGTCCCTGCTGTCGTCGCCATCCCAGCTCCTGCTGATGCATCCGCGCCCGTTGATTTAACGGATGACTAGGCTTAGGTTTTTTCTATTTTTGTACTTGTGTGTTTTCAGTATTTCTTTGTATGAAACACATTTTGTAGTTTCATTGGCACCTTATGTAATTGATTTGGAAGGAATACAATTCAAACAATCTTTGTAAAAAATGTGTGTACTATTTGCATTGCTCATACATTATTCAAGTTCTGTAGACATTCGGTAAGAATACAAATTAACTGTAAAATTTTCTGAGGTTCTGAACATTCCATGTAAACGGCAACTGACGCCCGTTCGTATCTGCTAATATATAAGATCCAGGTCGGTTAACTCGAGTGACCATGTATGGGCCTTCCCAATTAGGAGCGAGCTTACCCCTGTGTGAATGCGTGTTAGTTAAGCCAGCCTTACGCAACACAAGATCGCCGACCTGAAACTGTCGAGCTCGAACTCGTTTATTATAAAATTTTGCGACATGACTTTGGTACACCATGTTTCTCATTCGAGATCTCTCCCTGATTTCTTCCACTAGGTCTAGATTCTCTCTTAAAAGTTGCTCATTATTGAGGTCGTCATGACGATCTGATCTAACAGATGGTAGACCGACCTCAACAGGGATAACCGCTTCAGCTCCATACGCCAGGCTGAATGGGGTTTCGCCCGTTGCCAAGCTGGGCGTAGTGCGGCACGACCAAAGTACTTTATTGAGCTCGTCTACCCAACCAGATCGCGCGGCTTGAACACGAGTCTTGAGGCCTCGCAGAACGATTTTATTAGCGGACTCGGCTTGTCCGTTAGACTGTGGAGTGTACACTGATGTCAATGTGAGCTCGATGCCATAGTTGTCACAAAACGATCTCAGTGCTGCTGCTCGGAACTGTGGCCCATTATCGGCAATAATTCGCCTAAGTATGCCAAACCTGCACACAGATGACCAAGCTGAGCTACAAACCATGTTTGTATATATTTTATTTGTGATCTGAGTCACTAAGGAATACCTGCACAATATTGAATTGAACAAGAATTCTTTTATTTTCCTTTCTGTTGTCGTTGATAATGGTTTAGCTTATATCCACTTAGTGAAGTAATCCACTGCAACGACCAGGAAAGTGCAGCTTCCTTTGCCTTTGATGAAAGGGCCAAGCAGGTCGACACCCCATTGGGCAAAAGGCTAGGGAGATGTGAGAGACGAGAGAATTTCCCCTGTTTTCACAAAGGTACTTATGCTCAGCTTATAATCAAACACAAAGTTTGCATGAACTGTAAGACGAGCTCAGATACCTGGCATGTGAATATCATCAGCATTGAACTTGCAGGTCGGGCACTTTTTGACATAGCTCTGCGCATCCTCAACCATGGTTGGCCAGTAATATCCATGCCTTAGGAGTTTCCGAGCTAATGTCCTACCGCCTATATGTGTGCCACATACTCCTTCGTGAACTTCCCTCACAGCGTATTCGGCTTCATAAGGAGTAAGGCAGCGTAATAGGGGCATTGAGGCTGCTCGTTTATAGAGCTGGTTATCTAACAAAGTGAAATGTGCCGCCCTACGTTTAACCAATTTTGCAGCGGCCTGGTCCTCAGGTAGCTCACCACTTTGCAGACAGTTTATGAGCGGGGTGGTCCAGCTCGGCGTAGAAGGGTCTGTGCTCAGCAGCTGACATTCGACTGTGGAATCAGTGTAGCTCGGGGCGTCGAGTATCTCGACAATTATCGATCTCTGAGGGTTAAGGTCTTGCGAGGAAGCCAGCTTTGATAGCTCGTCAGCTCGGTGGTTATCCGCTCTTGGTATTTTATCAATTTGGAAAAGAACAAATGCTGCTTTCAATCTGTTGACCACAGAGGCATAACGAACGAGCTGGGGATCCCTGATGTCACATCTACAATTCACCTGGCCAACAACGAGCTGAGAGTCGCTGAAGACTTGAATGTTTTGTACTTTCAGCTCGGACGCCAACTTCAGTCCGTAGATGAGGGCTTCATATTCTGCAGCGTTGTTGGTCGTTTGAAACTTAAACCTCAGTGCGTGTTCGGACTTAAAGCCATCAGGACCCAATAACACCGCTCCGGCACCTGATCCTTCGACATTAGCTGCTCCATCTACATATAGAACCCAAACTGGGTGTTCAGGTGCCTTTTCTTTCACAGCCGCCGGGGCACATTCAACCAAGAAGTCTGCTACAGCTTGGCCTTTTATAGTTGTGCGCGGGTGAAATTTGAGGTCATACTCACTCAGCTCGACACTCCATCCGATGAGCAGACCAGAGAGTTCTGGCTTCTGCAATATTTTCCTTAGCGGGAAATCAGTATAAACGACAATCTGATGAGATTGAAAATAAGCCCTCAGCTTACGAGCTGTGCAGACTAAAGCAAAAGCAGCCTTTTCCGTTAGCGAGTAGTTCTGCTCGGCACCTTGTAACACCTTGCTCACATAGCAGATAGGCTTCTGATTCTTATTCTCTTCCCTCAGTAGCACTGAACTCACTGCTTCTTCGGCGACCCCCAGATAAAGATATAAACATTCCCCATCAACAGGCTTGGACAGGAGGGGTGCGGATGCTAAGTACTGTTTGAGCTCGTCAAACGCCTGTTGGCATTCGACAGTCCAGTGGAAGTTCTTAGGCTCCCGCAGAGCTTTGAAGAATGGAAGGCACTTTTCTGCCGATATGGCTATAAACCTATGCAACGCAGCTACCCGACCTGTCAGACGCTGTACATCTTTTACGGTCTTGGGTGGCTCCATCTGCTGAACGGCCTGGACCTTTTCTGGATTTACTTCAATTCCTTTCTTGGATACCACGTATCCTAGGAATTTCCCTGATTCCACAGCAAATGTGCATTTCAAAGGGTTTAGCTTCATTTGGGCTCGGCGCAGGTTTTGAAAAGTTTCATCCAGGTCGCCTATGTGATCCTCAGCTCGTATACTGGTGACTATCATGTCATCCACATATACTTCTATGTTTCTGCCGATCTGGAGCTTAAAGATGATTTGCACCAGCTTCTGGTATGTTGCTCCAGCATTTTTGAGGCCGAACGGCATCATGACATAGCAGTAGATTGCATCACCAGCGTAAAAAGCTGTCTTCTCCTGGTCGTTCAACAACAATTGAACCTGGTGATAACCCGAGCTGGCGTCGAGAAAACTCATCCGTTCATGCCCAGCTGCCTGCTCCACTAATTTCTCCACATTTGGCAAGGGGTGAGGATCTTTTGGACATGCGTCATTGAGGTTGGTGAAGTCAATACACATCCTCCACTTGCCATTTGGCTTTTTGACGAGCACGGGGTTGGATACCCACTCGGAGTACTCCACTCTCCTGATGAAGCCTGCTTGTAGCAGCTTCCGTATCTCCTCGTCTATGGCGGCTTGTTTCTCCGGGCCAAAAAGGCGACGTTTTTGCACCACCGGCCTTCTGGTGGGGTCCGTGCTGAGTTTGTGGACTGTCAGCTCCGCTGGGATGCCAGGCATTTCGTCAGTAGTCCACACGAACACATCTTGATTGACCCTCAAAAACTCCAGGAGCTCTGCTCGTTCTTCTTCTGTGAGCTTGGTGCCGATCTTGACTGTTCTTTCTGGCACATCAGGGTTTAAAGGAACGGCTTCGACTGGCTGGCTCTGCTTTCTGCTCGACTCCCTCGGGTCTATGCTCAATGTCCGATATTCTCATTGTCTGCTGACCGGGCTGAGTCAGTTTACTATTTTCAGAGCCTCTCGGGGCTACGGCGAGCTCCACCTTCTTAAATGTGTCTTGATAACATGCTCTGGCCATCTTTTGATTTCCTTTGAGCACTCCTACCCCCTGAGGGGTTGGGAACTTCATGCAAAGATGGGGTTGTGATATGACTGCCTTCAGCTCGTAGAGAGTGGCTCTTCCCAGTATAGCGTTGAAAGCTGACTCCATTTTGACGACCAGGAAAGTGACAGAAGCCATCCTGAATCTTGGTTCCGAGCCCACATAGATGGGAAGGGTAATTACTCCTTCAACTGGCACGGGATGATTGTCGAACCCATATATAGGCCCTTCGTGCTTTTGCAGCGAGCTGGGATTTAGCTGCATTTTCTAGAAGCAACTCCAGTACAGGATATCTGGTGAGCTACCCATATCAATGAAGACCTTATTGACGTTATGATTGCCTATATGAACCGTTGCCACGAAAGGATCTGCATGTGGCATCATGACGTCGGGCTCTCCATCTGCTCGCTTGTAATCTGTCGGGCTGAATGTAATGGGTGTGTTCTCCCACTCCGCCTCCTCGAATGGTCGCTTCAGAGGCCTGCTTTTGTTAACCGTCATCACCTGTCGGGCGTACACCTTGCGTGCCCGGGCACTTTGGCCCCCTGAGTGCATACCACCAGAGATCATGTTGATTGTGCCAGACGGCGGGGGTATCGCACTGCACCCAACTCCTTTCCTGTCTTTCTGGTTTTGGGTGACAAGTCCCTGACCTTGGCCTCGCCTATTAAATTGGCGGCCCCTGTACGTTCTGCCTTGCTCAAAAAGATATTGGTTGTCTGGATACACGCCTTGTGTGTTGCCGAGCTGGTACCTCTGCCCCTGAGGTCGGTCATACCCCTGCACGAAGTGAGTTTGAGTCGGTTGTTGGGTATGAGGCTTCTGAACATATCCCTCTAATTTCCCAGTGCGAGCCAAGAACTCCAGCTCGTCCTTTAAGTGTTGGCAGTCTTCCGTGTTGTGACCGTATACACGATGATAGTCGCAATGTTTGCTCTTGTCTGCTCGCGGGGAATCATGCACCGAGGGTGGGGGTCTTCTAACCCAGTGCTGGATTTGTGCTAGGATTTGAGACCTTGGCAAAGTGAGAGGGATGTAGTTAGCATATTTTGGGAACTCAGCTGATTTCCCCCATTGCTCATTACCCTTCTACTTTTTCTTTTCCTCCCTCTTTGGTGCCTGTTCATTGCCTCTGCTCTGTTTGTCATCAGCTCGTTGTTTCAACGACTGAAAGTCTTCCGACAGTATGAAGCTAGCTGACCTGTCATTGACTTCGTTCCACGTCTTTGGTGGATTTTCCAGTAAGTCATCTAGGAACCGGCCACGTTTCAGACCGTGCAGCAGGGCCGATAAGCAGATAGTATCAGGGACGTTATCGATATCTAATGTGGCTTTGTTAAATCGCTGCATGTAGTCCCTCAAAGATTCCCCCTCCTTTTGGTGAACTTGCATCAGCTCGGTCGCCGTGCGTTTAATCTCCCTTTGGCTTGCGAATTTGTTGGAGAATAACTTGGCGAGCTGGGAATATGACTCTATGGAATGTCTGGGAAGTTTGTGATACCACCTCCTAGCTGTTGACTTGAGTGTTGCCGGGAACACTTTGCACATCATGGCGTCATTGGCATTTTGGATTCTCATGATGGCTTGATAAGTATGCAAATGTTCATTAGGGTCACCAGAGCCGTCATATGTCTCCAGGTGGGGAATTTTGAATCCTTCTTGATACGGCTCTACAGTAATGGACAGGTTTAAAGGGGCACTATCCAAATCAAGAGTTTGTTGGTGCGACCTGGGACTTTTCAACTCGTCAATAGACTTTTGCACATCTCGCAGCTGTCTTTCAAGGTCTGCGTTCTTTTTCATCAGCTCCTCACTAGGTTTAGACGAGCTGGGCTCGATATTGATCTTCCCACTTCCCCTTGGCCTGGTCAGAACCATTACGTTGCTTAAAGCAGGGGAATTTCTAGTTGCAACAACTGCAGCTGGTTGTGTATCCCTGTTCAACAAAGGAATCAGGGG